AGATTTTCCTTTATTAGCAAACTAACAAGCTCTCCTGGCAGTGATGGAAACAGCCTGAGGGTTCTAGTAGGAGAAGCTGAGCCACGTGATAAAATGCTTTGAATAAATGTTCCTAAAATATAACAGACCTTTTTATTGTTAATTTGCACTTTTGCATTGGTACTGTTTCTAGAATTAATGATTAATTTCCATTGCTATGTCTGGGCCACTCTAAGCACATTCCTGCCTTAGGATCCTAGCATCCTTGTCTGCTCTTCCTGTAAAACTCCTGCCTTCAGTCTCTCTGTGCATTCTTTCAGTTCCTCGTGGTCAGATGTCACTTCTTCCAGGAGGCCTTCTCGGAACAGCTCACCACAGACTTGCTCTTTCCTACACGTCATCTCCTTTCTTTGCTGCTAAGGTAGCGTCCCACGTGTGAGTGACTTCATATTCATGATCATTGTCTGATATATTTTCTAAACTACATTGTGAATTCTTTCACATGGGTTAAACTTTATTTGTCAACTTCAACACAAGTTTAAGAGTTTTCTATCTATGCTTTTATTATTTTGTTTAAGCTTATTATTTTGACATATAAATATATTTTGAAATAACTAGAGTCACAAGAAATTACAAAGCAATATACTAAAAGGTTTTGTGTCCCCTTTACTCACTGTCCCCCAATTCATTTTTAAAAATTTTTTAGATAATTTTATTGAGAAACAGATAGCAATGGCACAGTTTCAAAACCGATTAGTAGGGCAGTTTCAATAATTAATATATTGCATATTGTTGTCTTCTTGGTGGTTATTCATAGTGCAAGATGCAGACATGATATCCTGTCCACAAATGTCCCCCAATGTTATGCTTGCATTGTATATAACTTTAACATAACAATAATATAAAAATGATATCCAAAAATTCATATTGATGGAAGTCATATATATTCTTTGAATTTCACCAGTAATAGCTGTAGATATTTGAGTGTGTAACTTTATGAAATTTTGTGACATATTTAACTTTGTATATCTGCCAACACAGTCGTTACTTGACTGTACCACCACAACATTCTCTGATGTTACCTGCTTGCCATCTCTAGTGGTAGGCAACTGCTAATTTGTTTTCTAGTTACCTCATGAATATAAATAGAATCATATAGTATGTATCCTTTTGAAATTGGCTTTTTCCACTTAGCATATTTTTGGTTCATCCAATTTCTTGCTTACATGAATAGGCTCTCTCTCTCTCTCTCTCTCTCTCTCTCTCTCTCTCTCTTTCTCTCTCTCTTTCTCTCTCTCTGTCTCTCTCTCTCTCATTTTGGCAGATTGTATTCTATGGTACAGAAGTACCATATTTATTTAACAATTAACCTTTTTTGAAAGGCTTTTAAGTAATATGTAGGTTTTGGCTATTGTGAACAAAGCTTCTAAGGATATTCATGCATAATATTCTCAGTGAAAATCTTTTCTTTGGGGGCAAATGTTCAAGAGTACAATTGCTGGGTCATCTTGATGTGTCCATTATTAATACTGCAAGGAACTGAAAACTATTTTCCAAGAAGGTACATTGTTTTCCATTCTAATTTGTTAGCTATATAGATATCTTGTTTTGATTTTAATTTGCACTTTGTACCCCTCTTATTACTGCATAGAGATGGAAATTCCAGCTGTCTGCCACTAGGTGTTTACTGAGATAACTGCCTGTCTGGGAAGAGTAGGAGTGCCTTATTACTTCTCCCTGTGGCCTCCACTGACACCAGACCAGGAATATAGGTTCATTACTGATTGATTTTATCGCAAATGGTGACTTTCCACTATACTTGCTTTAGCTTTACCCTATTGGAAAAAAAGAAATGGCATCCCATTGCTACTGGGCAGATGGAAAAGACTCCCCACAAAGCCTTCCACCAACACTTCCGCTGAGGTGGTGCTAGGGTATGAAGGTGGACTCCAAAAGGGAGTTGGAAGTCCTAGATTCCTTCTTGCCCCCACTGGTACCACCCAAGCAGGAAATTGGGGGGTGCTCCATTACAGCCTACAAGGGTTAATAATAATATTGTAGGTTTCCATTCGGTCTTTGTGGAGCCACAGCTCTTTCTTAGGTATTTGGCTAGAACAGAGAAGTTATTGGCTAAATGTGTTCTCTCTTACTAGCTGTCCTTTCCCTGTCCTTTGGCTGGTAAGAGCCCACTTGGTTGGAGATGTTATTGATTTACACTACCAGTTGACATTTTTAGGTTGCTGATGTCTTCTTCAGCTTCAGGTTTGGAATATACAAGGCAGAAAGAATAATATTAGAAAGTTATCAACTCATTGTGTCTTTGATGCCAACGTTTCTGGTCTTTGCACTTTTCAGGGCAAAGACTGCTTTATATATAATGTTCAGATTGGTTATTGTTGTTTTTCTTATAGAGAAAGAATAAGGAAAGGCTTAATAACTAAATATTTCCAAAAGCATAGGTCGTAAGGATCAACATTTCAAATACACTTCTAAATTTTCCACTGTTTTATACCTTCATGCTTTACTCAGTATGATTCACTTTTTGTTTCATTAGTTCTTCCTACAGCCTCATGAAATCTGTTTTTAAATTGAAACAGAGAGTTTGGAACTGCAGATACAGTCACTTTCAATTCATGAATTCCTGGGCTGGAGAGATGGCTCAGTGGTCTAAAGCACCTACTTAGAACAAGCTTGGCAAAGCATCAGGGACCGCGGTTCGATCCCCCAGC